GGTATGGACTGGGAGTGTGGGTGCCGGACTGTGTTCAGTTGGCCTTTGTTAAATGGGCGTGTAACACTGTCCCCTCGGTTTCTTGAAACCCATCGGATTCCCGTTCAAAACATAACCAGGAACACAGCGCGAGGGCCGTGTGCTTGTCAGGCACGCCGCCGCGAGACCCTGGCAGAGGCTGGATGATGTCATTCCTTCAGGACGTCACCATTGCACCAAAACCGTGCGCGCGGTCACCCTGCGCGTCACACGGATCGTTTGGGTTGTTCAACGCATAATCATTCGAGAATGAAACAAGTTCTCCTTTATAATGTCCGCTACTTTTAGTAGTGTTTCTGGCGAGGTAAATACTGAATACAGCGTTAGTTAAGTTTGTAACATTTTTGGAACTCTTTCTCAGCAGGTTATGGTAATTTATCCCGATTTTGTAATCGAGCAGTTGTAACTAAAGGAAGGTGAAGTACGAACACAATACATTTACAAGCAAAATCTTAAACATAACCTCCATGAGCAATACTAATTGCTTGTTAGTACGTCGAACATGGAAGCTGTTTATTTTAGGAACTGGTAAAGGTTTATGTAATGCTGGAAATAAAATAGATTCAACGTTTCGTCTGTGGAGCCTTCAGGTGCTTGCTATTTTATTTACTTTACTGTATTTATTTGCATCTTGTAATAGAAATCTAATTCCGGTCATTTAAACGATAATTACGACTTACGGAGGACAGAATAGATAAACCCCACTGTAGAATTAGTATCTAATTTATTTTATGATGTTTAAACCTCCCCAGTTATGGAATTAGATGTGGGGAAGTATTGGTCAGCGAATATATTCCCAGATTTTTTGCAAATATCATTAAAATGTCATGAAAGCGCATCAAAGATTTATACATTTCTCAAATATATTCAGTGAAAGCCCAGAGGTTTGACTCGTGTTTTGCTGAAGAAGATTGTGATGAAAAGAGCTGGAGAAATGCGCGTTAATGCCGCCCTCTATGTGCGGGCAGCCCTTCCACAGCTCTGCGGACTACAAGGACCATAATTCACAGCAAACACTGCGAAACAAGAAACCACAGCTAGCGAGCAGATGCCCGGCGATACATTATTAGAAACAGCCCTCGGCGGGGAATTGCAGTGGAGGAAGTGACTGTCTCATGCCTTTCTTATGAATTTCCTCTGCCCATGTCTTTCTTACAGAACCGCGGAACGCATTGGGTATTTGAAAAGCAGGGATACAGAAGGAGGAAAATGACAGTCGAGCGGGCAGAGGACTGGGGCGTTTAGAAGCCGGGGGTGAGAGGGGCCAGGATCACCAGACTGCAGTGGTACCTTGGTGGAGAGACTGAAGGAAAGGAGGAGGGGAGAGGGGGGGATCCAGGGAGGCCAAATGAAACGGACTCTGATCCTGCAAGTACGGGCGCAATCCGTGCGGTAGACGCGGGGTAAATGAGACGCCCCGTGGAGAGGTGAGAGCGAACCTGACGGTCTGATTGCTGGGCGTCTTGCGGGAGGAGTCTGGCTGCGCTCTGTGCCGCAGGAGGAGGCGAATGAAGGCGCGCAGGGAGAAAGCACCACGACAACGATGACAACCACGCAGGAGCCCAGGTAACCCGCTACTCCGGGGCGCTGTGTTGTACGGATTAAAGCAGTCCACACTGCCATGGTGCCACTTTATGGATATATGTATGTAGGTTGACCACAAATGATTAAATATAACGTTGAATTCTATTGGAACAGACCTATCCCCCAAATGCACTCAGAGGCGGTCTCTGCGACTGCAAAGGCTGGTACTATATATGATCGGTTCTTGCTGTAGTTTAGCACTTTGATGCCTGAGATACTTTCCTTTAACGAACGACTCGGAGAGGGGTGGTGAACAGCCGCAGTACTTGAGCTAGGCTCTCTCTAACCAAACAGCTTGGAGTATTTTTTGGTCTACTGCGAAAAAAAAGGGGTTTTAATCGGGACTGTCAAGGCCTCTTTGTAACCGCCCTTCCCCGGCTCTGGAAGTAGCTGTGGTGCTTAAATGACTGTCAGGTGTTTTCTAGACCCCCCAGCTGAGCCGGACGCGGCAGCCCCACCCGTCCACGGTCAGGGAAGAGAAACCGCACAGCACTGCGGCTGCCGGTCCGGGGTCAGGGTTTGTCGGAACAGACACTTCAGATATGAAAAAACTACACACCGTTAATTACCGTTACCGTTAATTGGTAAACCGTTATGGCCGTCAAAGGAGAAAAACATATTGAGCCAATGCAAAACAGCACAATGATTTGACTTGATTTACTACAGTCCAGTCCTGTCACTGAGCAGCAAACAAACTGCTCCGGCTGACTTGGATTAATTGTTTAATTCCCGGCAAGGGAATTTCAGATTGCTGATTTGCGTTTCTTGCGGAGTTTGTCAGTTTATTGTGGATAAAAGGTGCGTTTTAAGGAAATGACTTCCCCCAGATTAGCGCAGGACAGATCAGCCGTGGTGTATGGTATCATACCACCGGCGTATGATGCAGTGCTGTATGTATAATAAAGTCAATTAAAGGCTCCGAGAGGCCGGACGACCCGGAGTAATCAATATGAAGAAAGAGAAAGTCATTAGTCATTATTTCTCGCTTTAAATATAGTGTTACAGCACAAAGGGCTTCCTTCTAAAAACATCAAAAGTGTGCAGACAGTACATACAGAAGAAAGAAAGACTTCAGATTAGCAGAGGTGAATAAAAACATGAACTGAGAGCAGCCTGGCCTAAACAACAGGCCATAATCAACCCACCATAACAGGGAGTAAGGCTGCTGG